TTTTGAGTCCTATCGGGGGTTATAACGAAACACAGACGGGGTCGAACTATAGTTCACTCTTTCGAAATCCTGTGGCAACGAGAGGCCTGCGCAGTTTTTTAATTACCTTAATCGACCTAAAGTGTCTAAGTTGTTGTTCTTCCACCAGCCAATGTACCCAACTGCGATAGATGCACCTTCTCGTTCCACAAACCACTGATAATCTGGTTGAAGGAGACACCACATGTAGATCTAGATCGATCCGTAAGTGACCGCTCGGCAGCATCGCCAGTTTTCATTGGATGGAGATGAGGCTAATGGAAAAGGGCATAATTCATACAAGTGCTAGATGTCCAAGCGTCATTGGTTCCTGCATTGGGCAGGCCCGTTTCGAGGCAACTCGCAATCCTCCGCCTTGTATTATCTGCAGAACAGAAATTCACACGTCGCTAAGACAATCCAACCTGTCTAACTTCCTTCAAGCCTCACTCAAAGGGTCTACTGTCTTTGCCAATGGGACGACACGGCAACCAACCAAACCGACAGCCGCCTCGCAAGCATCTCTATCCGTCATTCAGATGGAAGATTCTTCCTCTGCCTGAAGTCGAGGTACAGACACTTATCAGAACAAGTCGGCATAGTCAGGTAGATAATTAGCAAGGATCAAGCAAATGATGGGCTTCATAGTCCCTCTGGAGGTAACCGTACTAATCGCAAAACATTGCTTTGATGACGAATGACTTATTTGTAAAATAGTGTTTTTCGGGAAAAAAACTTAGTTGAAAGATGAATGGCAGAGGTAAATACTGAGGGCTTTTTCTCCCACGTGTATTCATTAGCCCAAACGGATGGGCAATATAACAGTGGCGGTGTCAAAATGTCAATACCATCGGCAATTGACATTTGATGCAATTCCACGATTGGCAGATCGGCGGCCAGACAGAATCGACGAGAGGACGTCTTCACGAAATTGCTTCTCCAAAATGGCTACTCCTCTGAAGCCGACAACGGCTTCAATTTATCATCTCCGGCGAGACTCGAGCCCAGAACATTCGGGTTCACACATGCAAATTGACAAGTTCGCCAGGGCAGGCCCGTACAGATGGGAACACATATTTGGTATGCTTCACACGAAAGCTAGCCTTCACCAAAATTGGTAGTGGGAAACTAGATCTGTATTTCCCAAAGCATTTTCTTATTCTTGACAGTATAAAGTTTTGGTTTGTATATTAATATCCCAGTTTAGAAGGATATTTATGCCCTAGCACTCAGCCTGGATGAACACTCAGATATTATTGAGGGAGAACATCTAAGCAAACGCTCAACCTTAAACCTACTTGATCTATCCATGAATAGCACATACTTCACATTTAATAATACATTTTATTGACAGGTACAAGATCTGGCAATATGATCTTGTTTAGCTCCCATTTTAGCGAATAAGCACATGTCAAAGATGAAGGGATGCTTCATGGAAGAGGCAAGATTGACACCAAAACTGATAGTTAGTTAATTGGATGACTACTTTGTCATACGGTAAGGTAAGGATAGTTTTGATAAATTATTATTTTTAATTAATCGGAATGATTGTAATGTTAAGTTGACAATGGGGATAGAGAAGAGTAATAATTTACTTTTTTTGGATGTTTTACTGATCAGAGCATGTGCGAAGTTAGGCAAGGACCTAGATACAATGCTAACATACGTTGGCTTTATCCTTAAGTACTTCTCCAAGCATAGTTAAAAAACAAAGGCTGGCATTTTCAAATCTATGCTTATCCGGAACCTAAAACTAGCCGATAAAGACCATTGTTATAATGAATTAGATCGTCTAGGTCTGAATAAATATAACAATAGATTAATAAAGGATATCTTTTTGAATGGTGAATAGGTAAGGAGCGATAAGGAGACCTATCTAAAAGAATAGTCGAACTAGTATGGAAGTGATGAATAAAAACAGTTGCTAAGGCAACTACGACACTTTTTCCAGTCTTGCCCGATTTTAGAGAGTAAGTTGACTTACTATCTAGATCGGGTTGTTACAACATAATGTGTTTACGTTGTCGCTTTTATGTTTGAGAGACTTATCGTCCCATTCGACAAATGTTGGCTGAACACAAAAGACCCTGTAGATGCTGTTGTATTAAAAAATCGGAGCTAGCTAGGCGCACGGCAGAATGTTATGAATCGTTTCGTTTTGCTGATTATGGTATGTCTGCTGCTAAACGAAAAGATAGAGGCAATCAAAATAAACCAAATAGACGATACATTGAATGCAAGGAATACCGGCAAGAAGTTAAGTGAAAACTACATGTTCTTTATTACTAGACTCAAATATAGAGGGTTTTATTCCGACTGAAAATCGGAGGCGACTCAACTAGTATTTTCTTGCCTTAGTTCTAATCACGCTCACTTTTCTGTACTTATTAGCCTACTCTTTTCCTCTTACCTGAAGACAAAAAACTCATCAACATAACAAGACATTTGTCCGATCTTTCGCAACCGGAGTGATGGTTAAAATATATACAGAAAGGGGGTGATGGTGGTCATGAAACCCTGACGACCGAGAGCAGACGTTACTCTTTCTGCTCTAATTACTTTGAGCCATCACTGATGGTTTCATACATATATGAACACATCTAGGCGCATACACAAACACACACACACACAAGTGTTTCGAGGTTGACATCGATTTGAACTAACCAAATAATTTATACCTCATCAAAGAGTTTAAACATAGAGTATACATACAGGATTTAGGGATGAGCCGGTGAATTTTCATGATTCGTAAGATTGAATATTGTTGTAGGAAGGATAACCTGCTCTGATGATTTCCGCCATGCGACAGACAAAGCTTAGTATGCTGGTAGTCCCAAAACTCTACTTATATATAAAAAATAAGTAATGTAGTCGATTGTTATAGCAAAAATGCGTTTGCTTTATCGACAATCCAACCTTCCTTGAAAGTCCCATTTGCCCTGTGACCCAAGGGTAGTCTTGGCAATGTGGCCGAGTGGTTAACATGTCAAGCTCACCTGCTGAACCGTCACAATTAGACTCCCGCTGGGGGTGTTGATAAGACCAATGCGAGGTCGAAACTGCAGTCCACCCTGGATGAGAACAACTTTTGATAAAGCAAGGCTCTGTGAACTTCAATGGAAACGTCAGCTCTAGTCATATTATTGTGGGAAAATTCTACTACTAGTCCTTCATCGCCTTAAACGAAAGAGGGTGAATACATCTCATATTACTGATTTACTGGTAGTCTCGAATATCTTCTTATATACGAAAAATAGTACGCTTTCACCGGAATCTAAGCAGATTGTCACTTAAGCAATGTCAATAAGAATATTTAAGTAAAGCCAACTGACAGCTGGTCAAGAGGAATCCACCATCGTCTTCTGGTGGGATCGACCTTCGAATCCCTTCACCAAACACTTTCACTCGAAATGAAGTATGGTCAACAAGTGTAAAAGGAGCCAGATGCAAGCATCATCAATGCCCTTCTAGTCTTCATACCAAATATTATTCTCAGCTACAAAAGCAGTTGACAGAAGCAAAACCGGATTCGATAAGTTCCGTCAGCGTAGCATAATTCAATACCGAAACTACCAATAGTGCCAATCTGCTTTAGCCTGGTCACCCTAAGCAATCGGTTTCTTGTTTAACTATTTCGAGATGAAACAGCGAAGAAGCTCCTTTGCATCCAAGTGCACCGTTTTCATCCACGACGGGCGTAAATTTTAAGGTGATTTAACGGCCAGTCTAGGTACATTTCGGGCTCTAAGTTCATGCCGCTATATGTGAAGAAATGGTGGGTCTTGAAGAAGCCCTTTTAAATTTAATTTATCTTAATTTTGAGGGAAAATTAGGTTATTGAATTGGCTGCAGTTAAAATCTTTCTTCAATAAGAACATTATTGTTATGATGATGTATATCATGGAAAAGCAGACGAAAACTCAGCACGGATGGGTTGGATGTATCTGATGTATCTTTCCTCTGTTTTAAAGAGGCGAGTCAAGGGGATTCGTAAATTTGCCCAACCGAATGTCGCAAACCTCTCTTCCAATTGTCTCTTAAAACGAGACGAATGGTACACCAATGAAATGTGCACATGTTAATTTGCCTTAAGATTTTCCCTGTTCACGAGCTTGCGACCTCGACTCATCTGTTCTGAGCTTTATTCTCACCGACTGTGACAGACATTATCAGCACGAGAAGATATTTATTCTATAAAGTAGAAAAAATTTGCAGTTACAACTGCATGGCCGACTTCCAAAACATCTGTTTTTATAAATGAAAAGTGCAGAGAAACTAAAGTATAAATTTGGATTACTCAAGACCCAGCTTTTCTTCAAATATAGACTCTTTATTTTTGATCCAAAAAATGTATACAGGTTGGCCCTTATATAACAATAAAATTTAGGCCATCACACACAAGGGAAGGTTGTTTTTCGCGGCATTGAATCTCGAAATAGTAAAACTATAAATTGATTTATTAGCACTTGGGGCTAGCAGTAGATATATGTAAGAGAGATTTTCACCATTTGTCGCTTTGGGTGATAGAAAGTGACAGATGCATTACTTATAATCCTTCTTTGTGTTGGTTCTACTTGATTTTCGCAACTTGGTTGTGGTACAGATCCAGTTTTGCCTCACACTAATTCCCAGTATCAAATCCATTACTTGATTATTCTCAGACTGCTAGCAATTCTAAAGCCAAATCATCTTGATCTTGATCTCTAAAATCTTCCTTAGGCTTAAGAGGAGGGCAATTTGGAAATCCCTTCCAACTAGCATTTTCTTCATAAGCAATGGTCCAGAGACAGACTTGATAATGTCTCCAGGAAAGGCCGAAAATGTAGTTCAGCCTGAAAGAATACGGCCTTTATGGAGGCAAAGTGGAATATAATTCAATGAAAAAAGCAAGTTTTCCCATTCTTTTATCGCAGAATTAGCTCGCCGTATGGTGGTGTAAGTACTGATGATTTTTATACAGAATATCTCATGATGGCGTTGAATTTAATCCGATCTTGTTTTGATAAAAAGTTTTTTCATTAGTGCCTAAATCGCATTAGCACCCTCGCAGAGATTCAAAGCCATATCGGGAGAGTCAAGAGCTTCAGCCCATGAGAGGACTGATAGTTTACTTGTTGTGGAGAATTTCATTTTGTATTAAAGTGCATGGTAAAGAGATTCGTGGGTCGAGTATGCCAGAAGACCACGGCTGATTCCTGTTGTATTTACGCCGTTTGGATATAATACGACGTCCAATTAGATGGACGTTAAGGTCCATGAGACATCCTCTTTCGTTTCGGGTGAAAATGGGCTGAAATTTCGTCCGTCATACCACTTGACAGGTATTGTCAGCGCTGGAATTCATTCGTGCAAAAGCTTAAACATAAACTTAGGTCAAGGAGACTATGAGTATCTATCCCACATGCTATATTTACCCATAACTTAAATAGAAAATATTTATATTATAGAACGATATAGTATAATTGGATTAGCTATCTTTCATATTAACCAGAGTAATCTCTAAAAAAAGTATTTTTACAAGCCTTTTGGCTGCAATTACACCGGGGTTTGACATCATTTCACCAATTCTATTTGACCAATTATCATATAAGTTTTAAGAGCACATACAAACACACGCACACACTCAAGGTGAAGTACCCCGATTAGTATAAAAGAGAACTAACCAAATAATTATATTTTCATCTATAACATACGTATCTTCGTTGTTTTTAGCAATGAGCATATAAGATAGAGCCGGAAAGTCTTTTTGACTTTGTGTTAAAGTGAAGCTTTTGCAAGAATGAGTTTCAGCTCTGAAGATGCCTATTAGGTGGTATTACTGACTAAAGCTCAGCCGTTTTCATCTAAAACTCTGGAGGACGCATCTTGAACTGCGTCAACTTGAACATTGCATTAAAGCCAAACGGCGTCAGGGCAGCAGCAATTATCAATCGTCTTTTGGTGAGATTGACCTACGAATCTCTTCACTCTACATTTTTATATGAAATGAAGGTATCTACAACAGGGATAGTTTGATTTTCATCGGCTTGGCCAGGCGTTCCCAGGTATGGGTATTACTGGGATACAGGACAAATGTGGCTTTAGAGGCAATTCATGCCTCCTCAAAATCGCGTATACAAGG